CTTGTCGTGAACCGCCGGATATAGCACCAACGCAACCACACACCCCCTGCCCAGAGAAGGAACCCCACATGCATAAGCACCAGCGCCCCCCTCCCCCCAGCAAAAATAACGCAAAGGAGAGACCCGGTAGAAACATACCTCGACCGACGCCATCAGACAGTGTTCCCTGACGCTTGGCACCACTGCGACCCTCCTCGGCGATCATATCGTGCTGCTGTTGATGAAGACGGCGACGAACAACATGGAAGATAGCTGTGTACGCTACACGGAACGAGAGAGAGAGAGAGAGAGAGAGAGAGAGAGAGAGAGAGAGAGAGAGAGAGAGAGAGAGAGAGAGAGAGAGAGACCGGGAAACTCGCTGGAATAAAGACTGAGTATTAAAATCCTACCACTATTGAACCGCTACCCCAAATACAAAAGCCCGAAAATACCCCCCTTAAGATATAACACATGCCTATATGATTAAAAACTACAATAAATAATCAAAAAAATCCTGTACATCCAATCTAAAAAACCAACGACCCGGATGAATCCACACTATTTGTATCTGAATATAATCCTATATATATATATATATATATATATATATATATATATATATATATATATAAAAGCTTGCCTCCACTTCAAATCTATGACGCAGAGAACCAAAAAGGAACATTTGCTGAAACTTCCTGTCCTCGAAAATCATAGTAAACATCAACTCCTCAAAATTTACCTATTCTAATTTAAAAAAGAAACATGATCGTAATTGTTAATAATATTGTTCTATCAATATTATAACATTCATTAAAAAACATTTAATAATTCTAAAGTATTATTAATTATACTTTTGAATAATATATTCCAATAAAATTATAGAAACACCAAACACAGCAGATTGAAATTCGCAATTAGTGCTAATCAGGCTTCCACTAATTAATTAGAATGTGGAAAGCATGGTTCGTTTGTTTCCACTAATTCTACACCACGTGACCGACAAGGCGACAAATATAGTGCGTTTAAGATTACTAATAATCCTAATTAGCACTACATAAATTAATAAATTATTCTACTGGCAATTAAAAAAAAAAAACTTTTTGTAATAACGGCAATAGTCTATGCTCCAGGATTAGATTAAGGAGAAGGAATTTTGACCCCAGAAAAGTCACGCGTAAAATTGATTCGAGTTTGATTTGACAGCTCTAAACTTTTTCGCTTTTCATGTAAAATTCAACTTTTTATTCCCTCGATTACAACAATATTTTTTCTTAATTTCATTAATCACATTTCTTCTTGTAAGTTTTTAAATCATTTCAATTATCATCTCAAATTGTTAAACTTATATTAAATTTGGACAAAGAATGGGGGCAATTCAAACATTTCAATAGCTTAAACATTATTGTTAGGAAAAATTGTAATTATGTCCCTCATAAATATGTCAATTATCACTATCACTCCTGAATTATTAGTGGTGTAAATGTTGCCCTTTAATTTTTAAAACGTGACATATATTGTCCCTTCTCTGAATTATTAGTGGTGTAAATGTGAGAGTAAATTTCAATTTTGGTCTTGTGACGGTTGTGGTCTTGTTAATTGCAATCCACGACTTTTAAAATTGTTAATTTAGTACCTTAACTATTTAAATTTTATCAATTTTGGTCACTCCGGTCAAATTGCCGGCCAAATCTCACGGCAAATTTTAATTAGCCAATTAATCTTTAATCTAAGGGGAAATTTCGTCTTTGTATGTCTGGTCGAAAAAGGGAAGGTTCCCATGACTTCCTCTTTTTGTTCACCTAGACATGCATATTTCTTTCAAGCTCCACCAAATCCCCCCTGTGTGATTGCCCCGTGCTTTCTCCTGCCTGCAATGCTTTTCATTCACGGCGGCATTTAGAGTCTGCCACTTGACTAAAAGTCAATGCCAGCTCCCCAGCTGCGCGGTGGATCAGTCGCCTAGTAGAGCTGCGTCCCGAGCACCCACGGTCGTTGAGGTTGATTTAGGTAACCGGAGCTACCCGATTTACATTAGGTCTGGACTCCTTGATCAACCTGAGCTCCTTCAAAGGTCATTTCGATTCCTTCCCGCTGTCATTTTATTTCCTTACAATTTGTAGAACATCTTCAGTATTAGGGCCACTTCGTTATAATTGAATTACTTATCTGGAAATATTTTGGCAAATTTCCTAGCTGTTATGCTTATTGTCTTAGCATAACACTAAAGCTTCAGAATCGAATTAACTAGTTATTTTTGGAATTTTGCATTCCCTTTTTCAACCGGACATACAAAGACAAAATTACCCCTAAGAGTATCCCCAAAAGGGGATTGTTCTTAGATTTTCAAACAGTAAAAGCTAGGTGAGTGGGTTTTTTAACAAAAGTGGAGGAGGGCTTTTGGAGAGTTTCTTCCTCCTGCAAGAATGGAGATTTTGTCAGATAAAAACAAACAAACAAAATTTAGTTCTAAAATAATGTACTTTTAGTATATTAAAAATGTACTTTGTATTAAAAAAAAAGTACATTATTTGAATACTAAAAGTACATTATTTTATATAATGTACATTCAGTACAAAAATAATATATACTTTTAATTCTTCTCAAACATACAATATTAGTGGACCATGGTTCACACAATAATTTGCCCCTTATTACAGAATGGGCAAATTAGACGTGCAAAAAAGTGACAGAATTGAAATTTAAATTGCTCAAATTGTCATTTCTAAATATTAACCTAGCAGCGTATTCCATGGCTGTACAAGCTCCTCCGCAAGACTATAATGGCCCGTTTGGTTCACGGAATAAGCCGGGAATGACATAGCATTCCCAGTAATAGGCCTATTCATTTGTTTGGTAACCATTACTATTACCAGGAATAATATTCCTGCTAATAGCCTATTACCTCAAATAAGGTAATAGCTATTACTAGGGCCCCCTGGTATTAGCCTATTACTGAACGCTCAGGATTAGATTTTAGAATCTATTTTCTTTTTTACCCCTTTCTTTAACCTAATTTTTTATCCTATATATAAATTTATCCTATTTCACCACCGTCGTCACCACCACCACCACCACCGCCGCCCCCACCACCACTACCACCCTAGCACAACCACCGCCACCACCACCATCACCACCACCGCCACCACCATCGCCGCCGCCGCCACCACCACCACCATCGCCACCAGAACCACTACCCAGCAGCACCACCGCTGCCACCACCACCACCACCGCTACAACCGTCGACGCCCCCACCACCACTGCCACAACCGTCACCGTCACTACCACCACCGCCGCCCCTACCACTGCCGCCCCCACCACTGCCACCGCCACCACCACCACTACCACCCCAGCACCACCGCCACTACCACCATCACCACCACCGCCATCGCCGCCGCCGCCGCCGCCACCACCACCACCGCCACCAGAACCACCACCCAGCAACACCACCGCCACCACCACCACCACCACCGCCACCACCACCGCCACCACCATCGCCACCGCCACCGCCACCGCCGCCACCGCCACCGCCACCACCACCATCACATATTTTTATAAGGGTATTTATGTCTTTTAAAACATATTTCATTTCTATTCCTTTAATCAACCAAACACTGTAATATAATTCCTAAAGTCTATTCCTTCCGCGAACCAAACAATAGAATACAATTCCTATTCTATTCCTTGCCTATTTCATTCCCTATAGAATAGCATTCCTATTACCTCAAAATTCATTCCGTGAACCAAACGTGCGGTAAAATTTAAATATTAGACTTATTTTAATTGTCTTAATGAAATTCTTCAAATGATATAATTTATTTTTAATAATATAAAATTTATATTTAACAACTTAACAAAATATACAAATATATTAAAACTAAACCAAGAAATAAACAAAATTACAAATAAAAGTAGGGGTCAAAATGAAAAAAAAAATGCAAATCAGATTTGGTGCGGATGAATAGTGCAGCGCTACACTGTTCACATTCGCAAATAATGCTGTGCAACCGTGTGCACCATGCACACAGTTGCAAAAACGACGTCGTTTTGACTAAAAACGCGCGTCCCACTTTTTTAAAAAAAAAATCAGGTTCGATTCCTGGCAATAGCATTTTTTTGTACATAATTTGAATTATATATCCACAAATTCATAACTATATATCCACAGTGAATGAATAACACAAAATCCAGAATGAATAAACTAAATATCCACAATATTGATGGGAATCGAAACTGAATTTTTTTTTTTTTTTTTAATAAAATGGGACGCATTTTTTTAGTCAAAATGGCGTCGTTTTGCAACCGTATGCACCATGCATGATGCACACGGTTGCACAGCATAACTATTGGTTCACATTGCACCAAAAGTATGGTAATTTGCTGATATGCCGTTCCCATTGGAGATGGCCTAAGGACGGATGGGAAGCTCTTTGGAAATTGAAGGTTCCAAATAAAATTTCAGCGTTCATCTGCCTCCTCAAACGCAACGTAACAGATTGATGACCAATGTGGAAAGGAAAAGAAGGGCCGGGGGTTCACAACTAAAGCAAGAGAAATTTGGGAAGTGCTCTTACCCTATGACTCTAAAACAAGGTTGTTTTTTTTTCTGCTAACTTTGATAACTGGCTTACAACGAATGTGGCAGGAAAGAGCATTTTGCGATCACTGCGACAATTTATATCGTGCACTAGGGCGCGCATTGCATTGTGCGTCCTGATGCAAAACGACGTCGTTTCACATAATTGTATAAACAAATACAAATAATTATATAAATAAATACACATAATCACGTCAACTCCTTACCGTGCCTCCCAAAACGACGTCGTTTTGGGAGGCGCGGGGCACACAATGCAATGTGCGCCGTGGTGCAGGGTATAACGATTGGATCCCTGCCTAGTGGATCTGGAAGTGGAGGTGCAATGAGGTCTTTAAAGAAGAGGCAATTGGGATATAACATATTGTATAAACTAAAACTACATAGGAGTTGGCTTAAAATATATTGTATAAACTAAAACTAAAGAAAAAGTACCAGAAGATCACTAGTGTATAAGCATGTAAATGAACATAATTATCATACTAGAAGATCATGCGTTTGATTATGGTCAACACTATAGTTAAGCCCAGCTCAGATTCCTCATGGTCTAACACACAAAAAAAAAAAAAGTTTGAATATTCTCCATAAAAGAAATTAAAAGGGCAGTTCAGTCTACCATTGGAAGTATTTATCTTCATCAGGATAAGCATCATTATCCTGGTTAGCTTCCATCAACTTCTTCATCAACAAGCTCGCTTTCTCTCTTGTTCTTCCTGATCCTCTAACTGAAAGATCAGCTAACACAAAAGAGAATTCTGGCAGCCTCAAAGCATCCCTGATACACCCTTCACTTTCATCAAAAAGCCTCACAAGAATCTCTGCAGCTCCCTCCTTGCTAAGCATGCACCTCCCCTTCAAGATCTCCAGCATCGACCCAACAATCTGCTCTGTCTTCTTGAGAGCCCCCAGCCCTTCATCGAACCTGGCGAGAAGGGACAGTATCGCGAGAGAAGTCCCCGAGAGATCCTCGTTGTCAGAGCTCTCGACTAGCTTCAGCAGGACTGGGATGGCTCCTGATCTCACAGCCACTGTGCAGTTTCCCTGGAACTGGACTAGCTCTGCCAGGGAGCTGAGGAGGTGGTGGGAAGCCTGGCAACGTGGCCTCGAGATCGCCTCTGTGAGTGCCTCGATGCTCCCCGCCACGCCAAACTTAGCCTTGTTCTTGTCCAGCATTGCCAGGCTGCACACCACAGATGCTGCGATTTTGCAGCAGTCTTCGGAGCCCTGTGAGAGGATGAGGGAGTTGAGGAATGTGATGGACTCCATATCTGCTAGACACTTCTTCAGGTTGGGGTTCAGGGAGAGGTTGAAGAGCGTGGAGAGCGCCAGGAGCTGGACCGTGATGGAGGACGAAGAGGACTTGGACAGGCCTAGAAGTCGAGGTATCGCGCCTTCTGCTTGAGCAACCAAATTGCGATTCTGAGGGCTCACTTTGGTGATGGCAACCAAATTCTGCAGAGCTTTGTGTTGATTCTCTTCTGCATCCGATGCAGCTTCGGCTAAACATTCTGCGATCAAATCGCGCACCTTTACTCCTGATGATGATGATGTTGATGATGATGGCATTGTTTAATTTCTTCTAGTTCTGGATGGTTGATTGTGGAATTACTCAAACCTGCTTCACCCTCTCATGGAGAATGCATATTTATCTGCAAAGTGACAATTTTTTGATGATTCCAAAGAACATGACTTTCAAAGTTCTTTGTAATCACAGAAACATTTGGTGGTTTCTGCATTTGGAATCATCTCAATTGTTGGGTGTGGGCCGGGTTAACTGAATTTAGCCCCTACTCGATTCGCGTTGTGACTTACCATTGAGAGATATTATTAAATGGTTAATGGCCACCTATTTATCACCAATCGATTTTAAAAAAGATATGACAACCAAATAACCAAAAACTCAATGCTTACAGGATGGGTGACTTACTGACAAGTAAGCATAATACAGCGTTGAGATCCATTATCAATCATAACATAATTTTTTCCTACACTAGCGAAAGTTAGCACCAGAAGAATCCAGGAATAATAATCCAAAATATGGTGGAAATAATAATGACCAGGTTAACACTAGTTTCTTCCATCTGTTCCAAATACAAAAACTCACAATAAATTTTATCAGTCATTTTTAGATCCTCCAGTACACACTACACACAAGGGGTTCAATCGGTTTTCTACAGCTCGAATATTAACCTTCAGTGGAAGGCTTGTTATGAAGGTTAGCCGTAACAAATCCAGCAAAAACCTGTAGAATATTGCAGTACTCGGTGAAACGCAATCTTTAAAGAGATGAGAAGAAACAAAAGAACTAAAACGACCGAGAGTTTAATCGAAGGAAGTTTACCTGAATGCATCCTAGAATGTACACTGGAGAATAGTGGCGCCGGTGGACTACCATGCTAACATAGCCAGAGGTATGGTCAAGGATATGCCTAGAGTTGCTACTAGCGGAGTTGTCCAAATTACAGACAGTGCCCTGTTAACGTCATTAAGATTGAATCCATGCAATCAATTAGCTAGTCAAGGTCGGCATTTGAAGGATAGGGTCCACAATGTAAAATAAATCCTGATCCATAGTATAATTTGTCGTCTAAGTAATGACCTTATAAACCCATATGTTCTATCTAATCATTTTCAAAATATGAGACTCTTAACATATCTAAAGTAACAAATCTTGTTTTAAGGTCTTATTGAAGGCACCATGCTAAGATGTTACTCTTACCATAAATAGTCTGCAATAACGCTTCCAACAAAGCCATTCAGTAGAAGGACTTCGGTAACAGAAACACTATTTGGGAAACTGAACTTAGGTTCTATCCCGAGAACATATAATGGCCATACTGCATAAAAAGCACATCAAAAGAATTAACATTTATTTATTATTTTTTTTAGTCAAGTCATGAGGTGTCCTGAGCAGATCCTAACTGTAGGAGGCACCTTTAAACCTGTACCATACTCAGACTAATCTTCATTCGCACCGGTCCGGCCCAATTAAGAGGCAAAGTGTTGGCTAGATGGTTAGCATTTATTTGCTTCAAAAAGAAAACATTATCACCATTTATGCACAAAATATATGCACCCTAAAGGAAAAACTAATAAGTAAATGTTATTGTTATGATAGATTTCCTAGTGGACATGAACTTGGAATAATATTTTGGTCCTTACCAAGCCACCAAATGCCAAGGAGAGTAAAAAGTCCAATATATCCGAAAATCCTTTGCATATCTACCTTTTCTCCCTTTGATCCCGTGGCTTTCTTGAGCAGCACTGCACTAGTACATCGGCCATGTTAGGATCAAGCGCTTGCTTACCACTACGCCAAAAGCTATAGCTAACTTGACTCTAATACCACCTGTTAGGATTAAGTGCATACCACTACGCCAAAAGTTATAGCTCGTAACAAGGGCGCAACTTTATTTTCTTATAGACCGTCATTACATTTTCGAGAGATAGGATCTTGGACTTGACCCTCCACCAGTTACCGCCCAATAATCTCCTAGTCACGAATTGATGGACTTGGCCATTTACCGGCCTCCGCCCAACAAGCCAAAAATCAGACTAAGGAAGGTTATATTGACTCAAATGATATAAGAAATTTACTTCAAAAGTACTTTCCTGTGAATAGCCCATAAGATGCTGCCGAGAGAAGACCATAAGCATCCCCAATAATAGAATGCCTTTTTTCCCTGATCCAAATGAACAGAATTCAAGTAATCACAACAATCTAAACATTGTTCCACAAAACTACAAGTTTTATAAAGTCAAGTAGAACTCAGCAACAGATTTCATATAGTAGGATCTCTTACCAACAAAAATGGCTCGATACAAAACAATACCAATTACTTACTCAGATACGCTCAGAATTTCATCAGACGCCCACGTTTTCGCAACAGTGGTCATTGCAACACCACTCATACTTAACGCAGCAGCAATAAATTTTGCAGTATTTATCGAGTCCTGGCCGAGCAGTGCTTCAAAGAAGAGCGTGAAGAGCGCTGATGTAGAAGTCAAAACGGTGGTACTTGCAACGCTTGTATTAGCCAGGGCAGAGTTCGACAAATACTGCACCAACGAACCAACAAGACTATTGACAGTAAACCCACAAATAAGTGATGATTATAGTTTTGAGATTCAACAAAAATTATATATTATCGTCTAGAAAGCTATAACTTTAACTTACCTCGGTTACAAACCATATGGGAGCAAGATATAAACTGCACCTAAGAACTTCCAGTTTGCTAAGTCCTTGGCACTTTTTATCTTGGATTTTACACATTACTGACTTTCTTCCTTCTTCTAAATTTGTGTCTTTCTCACAGTAACTTCCCAAGTTCTCTTCAAAATTCTGTTCGATTTCATTCATTCTAAGGGGAACATGTAGGCTTGATGAGTCCAAGAGAGGATTATTATCACTTTGAAGTTTTTTGAATGAATTCATGCCCAATACTCTGCTAATCCAATCCTTACAAAGTGCTATGGGCAAGTAGATGACCATAAGAGAGATCCCAAGATATGTTATTGCAAAAGGCTGTTTATACTCTAAAAAGATTTTCTGCAATACATCATTCTTGACCATGTTAAGGACATAACATATACAAAGTAAGTAATAAATATATAGTCAAATTATTAATTTAGACTTTAATTGAGACGAAATGCCACCAAGTTAATATAAGAGCCAAATCCCGAGCTAAATCCAAATAAAAGTCATAGGTTCCTGACTCATCAAAAAGTATTTTGGCCCACACACGTAACATACATGTTGAATATATAATATAATAATAATAATAATAATAATAATAATAATAATAATAATAATAATAATAATAATAATAATAAGTCAAACCGTGACCCGCCTTGATGAAAGGTCATGAATTCGTGACTCATAAAAGGTATTTGGCCAACACCTAAGATGGGCAAATTATATCATGGACACTGGAATCCATCTTACGATGTAAATACTGGTACAAGTTTATTTTTAGTACGTTGCAAGTTATTTGTGCACTACATGTCCATTTTTTAGTACATTCATTTTATTGAAACATATGTTCATTTTAAGTGTATTGTAGTCTGCAAGTGAAAATAAATATGTAGTACACTAAACATGATGTACAAAAAATGAACATTATATCACATAGTCAACTAGAGGTGGCCAAATCCCCGGCCTAGGCCTAGTTAGCACTGATTAGGACTGGCCCAAGATAACATGAACCAGTCCCTGTCGGGCCGATCCCGGGCTAGGCCCAAAATTTTTGTATTTATTTTTATATAAAATCTTTATAAATTGTTTTTTTTTTTTTTTTGTTTGAACTCATGATTAACAACGAATGTTCTTACCACTTAAACTATTTTAACATTTTCGTATAATAATGCTAATATACACACACACTCACACTCACACTCACACTCACACTCACACTCACACTCACACTCACACTCACACTCACACTCACACTCACACTCACTTTTTAAAGTTTATATTTTTGTTTAAAATAATATTTTGATCATTAATCTCAAAATAAAAAATTAATATGACTTTCTACAAAATAAAAAATGTATAAGACTTTAATAATATTTGAACTTGTACTATTAAATTTTTTAAGACTTGTAATTTTATTTGATAACTTATAAATATTATAAAGTGTATTACAATTTATAAAGTCCATGCTAGATTTTGCCTGAGCTTGGACCGTGCTGGGCTGGTTAGGGACCTAGGCCAGGGCTGGTTTCGAGCTGGGGTTCGGGCTATTATTTTATAGGTCCTAAACCGACCCTCTATAAGCCGGTTCAGATTTGGACTAAGCCCAACCCAAGCTCGGTGAAGCTTAGACTCATTTTTTTTTTTCAGGCCAATTCATGGTTGATTTGACCTTGGACCGGTCCGTGGCCACCTCTATAGTCAATCAAATAAGAATTGCATAAGATATGTTTTAAGTATATAATATATAAATAATAATAAATATGCAGTCCAAGCATTAATAATTCAGGGTACTATAAATTAGGAATCGAAGGCTTTGAATGTCATGGAAAGAGAGAACCACTGTGAATTCATCAGAGATAAGACAGAGGCAGATATGAATTCATCAAAATACAAAATTGCAGTGTTAATAGTTATAAATAAGTTACCAAAACAGCAGAAATTATATTAAAGTGAAAACCTGTGTAGTCTCAGCAGAAGCAACCCATATGAACACAAAAATGGCAATCACAACTAAACCAGCTTCGTACTTCCAACCCATCTCCCAACAACTCAGAGTTAACACAGAAATGCAGAAGAGAAAATAAAAGAATTGCAAAATAAGCTCAAAGGATAAATGAAATGAAAAAAAAATGAGTCTTTTTGTTGGAAGTGAGAAGAGGACAAAGTAAATGACAAATGTCACAGGCCACAGGGTTTTGACATGTGTGTATTCACCTGATAATGCCGTGTATCGTTCGGCACTGAAACTTGGACTACTAAAACAGATAAATATTCAGGTGAAACTTTGAAGGAAGAGTCTACAGTGTCATATTTTATTAATTGAAAAAAAAAGGAATTATATATTAAATTATTATTTGTTTTCAAAAAAATATATTAAATTATTTGCATTGAATCTTATTTTAAATAAAATGAATTGTAGTAGTGTTTGGCAAATAACTAATTAAGTTAGCTAATAGCTTATAGTTGATTGAGGTAGTTGATTTGACCAGCTGACAGTACTACTATTACTACGGACAAGTGAAATAAAAAAAGAAAAAAAATAAAAATATTTTTTTTTAATGTTACTGGCTCTATTACAATGTAGTATGTAGTAT